AGGTCTCAAAATGCACAAAAACTGCATTGAGAAACCAAATTGCCTAGATATGTCTCAGATGATCAGTAGTTTTGGGGTTCCCCAAATGCCTGGTTTTGTAGCTAGTCAAAAGGACTATCGAAAGGTAAAAACCCGAACTCGATAGCTATTAATATTGGTGATTTATTGTGTACTCAATAAGTGAGTACACTCTAGAATTGGTCAGTGTGTCCGGCCGGCCGTCCGTTTACACGATAACTTTTGAAAAGAGAGTCCGATTGCGATGAAATTTTCTACACAGTTCAGTCTTAACAATATCTCGGTCGAGTTCGAAGATGAGCATGATTAGCTGAGACATTCCTGAGTTATTGCAAAAATAGTCATTTTTCCCTATGATTTCCTATAGGAGAATTGACCTATTCCCACTTTCGTAAAAAACTTTTACTATCATACTCAAACAAAACCACAACTATTATATACCATTCGATAGATAATTTCACGAGCTACAAAATGGTATATGAAACATAAAGAAACACGAAGGCTAACTTACCTATTGCCAAGATAATCAGACGGAAATAGGTTCTGTTTTCGTCCACGCTCTAGTTGATCCGAAAATGAAGCTCTATCTTCCGATCACGGACATGATACTTCGAGGTTTTTTGGGGCGGAGAACTCGAATCTGTCATCCATTTGCCTTGAAATACCATTGGTTGAGCAAGAATCAATAGAAATCAAGTTATAGGAAAAACGACGGTTAAGATAAGCTACACATACACGCTACACACAAAATTGTGTGTAGCTTATCCTAGCTAGTTTGAACCAATAGAATCACTTTCCATTCTTTATTCTCATCTATCCAGAAATTGTTTGACATGTTGAAAAAATGTATACAACAAGGTTTTGTTAGTTGAATTAAAAGATATTTAAAAACAAAAGATGCTTATGAAAGTTAGGCAAATAATAAAGTCAAATTAGACATTTTTTTCGATTTAATTAGTTATTTATTGTGATCCTGGGAGAGTGAAAAATCTGAAATATGAGTCGAATGAAGATTTCTTTGTAGATCGACGAGAATAAAACGTACTTCCGAATAAAATTTCTATCTATCATTTCGCGAAAATGTTGTTAAATTTGCACGTAAAAGAAACTAACGTATTCTTAAAGAAAGAAAAAGCTCTTTGACTTATGTGTTGATTTTAAATTTAATTTTTCCGACTTAGTTATTTCTTGTTGCAGATAAGATTTTTTTTATGCTAATAAAAAATACATTGTCTCATCGATTATTTTATAAAAAAATTGAATAAAAACTTTTTAAACCGAATGGTTAAGTATTAGTTAGACCAACAATTATTGCTTAAAATGATATAGCAGCAAGGCCAATCATTTTAGTTTTCTTGGTTTACAATATTTCTCTGTATGAGACCTGCTTGAAAGCAATTTAATAGCAGAAAATGTGTAGTTAGTTAGATGCAAAGAGATCAAATTCTCATAAAAAGTCTCATGCTATAAATTAATGTCTTGAATTCGAAAATTTAAAACTTTTGCTTATGAAAGTTCTTGGAATAGGAATGAATAAAAAACAATCTTGTTCAAATTATATACAGTAGATTTTTCATTAAATCTTGTATTTAGTGAATTTTATATATTCATATTATTATATATTCTAAGTTCGCTGCCTACAAAAACTGTTAACCAGAGTATACGTTTCACTTTAGTCGACGACGTATTTTTATCAAATCGGTGATTAAAACTACAAAACTCGTCTGAGAAAAAAAGAAAATATTCTTGAGAAAGACTAGAATCCTCCAATCTGAGCATTATTGATAAAGTCATGATGAGTATCTCACAAATAGCTAAGTAAAAAATTTTCTTAAGAATATCCACCAGATAAATAAGTAAATTGACTTTTTTTGATATATTTAAGGTTACTGAGGGAAAATCTACAACTTATGGGTATTGGCAAGACCAAAAGAGAGCGTTTGTACCATATCGAGGTAATTCTCTGGTGGACAAGGTTTCGAAAAAAACAGAACATCTCTTTAGATATACATAATCAACCTCTTTTGAATATTACTCTGTTTCATTCGACTACTGATATCAATTAAAAAGCATGATATTATGTAATATTGATAACTAATCACTTACATCTTCGGTCTGATGATAGTCTCAGAAAATTTCAGTGAACTGAGTTCTGTTGAGATTTCTAAGCTGCCATAACTATCAAGACAAGAGGTTTAGTATGAATGAAGTCTAACATTTTAGACTTGTATTAAATTCTAATTTTCAGTTTCGAGAGAGATTAAAAGAAGAGCTCATAGCAATTCAAACGTTGTCTGTCCATATTATTAGGCTAAAGGCTATCATATTAAATTATCCTATCTCTCTCAAGACATGTTTATACTTCACTGTTGAACTATGCAGTAGAAGGTTTTTTTTTTTGTGAAAAGGCTAGCTTTCTCATGTGGTTCATTGCATTCCTACCATCGGAATGGAGTGGAACTTTGAGAGATGCTACATTGATGACCAAAGTAGCATATTCGTAATCAGCGGGATCATTTATCTCACCTCCCTTAGAGATTTCGAGAGAATGCCTTTCGCCATAAACAAAAAAAAAGATTTTGGGAAAATCAGTCAACAAAGATAAAACAAAGAGCATAAAAAATGAAACGCTTCATATGAGAACCGAAGTTATGTCGCGTTATTCGCTCACTTAGATACTCTGCTTATAAGACCAAAGTATTATTCTCTTTCCTCTCACGCATGTGGTTCTGTTCTCGTTAAGTATAAATGTACCACGTGAATGTTCACACTATTGCCATCAGTTATTATTAGAAACGTTTTTGTAGCGATATTTATGCATCTAGCTTTATCTAATATTAGTCCTTGATGTTTGTCTCTATATTTTACAACAAACAAAAAAAATTTTATCAGCAAAATATTGAAACCAAACGTAAAAATATTTTTTAACAGCTTTCTTTTTTTTTGCGGTGGTGTAANTGTTTGTTGGTTTTTTCATCTAATAGACCAATATTTTGTGATACAGGGCTTCTCTGTTACTCATGATTAAACTATTCCGATTAGAATAATACTCTTCTGTTTTTAAAATTTAGATCAGACAGTGAAAAACGAAATTTTGATAAATATGGGGACTTTCAGGATAGACTTTCTCCCAAGAAATGGACTGTCTGGGGCGTTGGTTATTATAACTTGGAGATACTCTGTTTGGGCTACAGTTCTGTAAAGAAATTAGCGTGGAATCTCCAAGAATGGCCCCAGGATACTTATTACAAAACAGGAAAGAATGGGCGTTTTTTACAGGAAATCTACCCGAGCGCACTGCAAAATTACTCGCAGTGTTCTTTTAAATAAGGTAAATTTTATCTGGTAAAAATAAACATTCAATTGTCTATTACCCTGTATCGAAATATCCTTACAAAGTCAAAAAGAAATTTTTTTCAAAAAATTCCCTTGGGGGATACAGGACCTATGAGAGTAAGATTTTACAGGAAGAGGCCTGGAGGGGTAGCGGAGTTTTTGTAAAAATTTTTTTTCATTTTGAAAGAATATTTTGATACAGGGTAATAGAGAATTAAATGCTGATTTTTACCAGGTAAAATTTATATCACATAGTAGAATGCTTGGAGGAATTTTGAAGCGCACTCCGGTAGATTTCCCATAGAAAAGACTCATTTTTGCCTGTTTTCCAATAAGTGCTCTGGGGCCATTCTTGAAGATTCCACGCTAATTTCTTTACAGAATTGTAGCCCAAACAGAGTATCTCCAAGTTATAATAACCAACGCCCCAGACAGTCCATTTCTTGGGAGAAAGTCTATCCTGAAAGTCCCCATATTTATCAAAATTTCGTTTTTCACGGGGCTGCTCTGAGAAAATGGAATGGTATGGATAGCTGAAATTTTCAGGAGAGATACATCTCTCAGTGTCCTGTTAAGAGTAAAAGTTTTCGAGTCATATATCACTTCTATCAAAAGTTATGAAGCGCCAAAGTTATCGAAAATGGACCTTTTTTCATATATTAAGTGCTTCATAAAATTCCAATGGCTCAATATTTTAAAGCAAAAATTTTATGATAAATGGAATTTACTAGGATGTATGCTAACAAAAAATTTCAGCTCATTTTGTTGTGCCATTCATGAGATATCGTTGCATTAGCACCACCATTTATATATAGGGTCATTTTTAGGCCTTTTCGTAAAATGCTCATAAAAAACCGAGGGATGAATATTTTTTGAATCGATTTGCGTCAAAGTTCATAAAACTCTTTCCTCTACAATATATCTTAAATTGAGCAAAATCTGACGGCATCGATTGAGCAGGGTCTCTGTGAAGTCGGTCGTGGCTTATATGAACTGACTCTTAAGTAAATCTGGAATAGACTAACAATAAAACATTGCTTTCAAAGTCTTACAAAATCTACTTGAGAAATATTTTGTTTGTTGGTTTTTTCATCTAATAGACCAATATTTTGTGATACAGGGCTTCTCTGTTACTCATGATTAAACTATTCCGATTAGAATAATACTCTTCTGTTTTTAAAATTTAGATCAGACAGTGAAAAAAATAATCTCTATTGACAAAAAGATAATGCGAGTATAACATTTGTGTTCTTTAAACTTTCATAGAATAACAATGAGGATTTTCCCTTTCTATTAAGTACCGTATTGTCTTTTGCATAATTGAGTAAGTAGTTTACGTTATACGAGATAATTATTATCAATAGCGAACATTAGATGTTTAGAAAGACAGTAAGATCAAGCAATCATTGATATATATATTTGTAAAGAAAATAAAAATAATTTATATTTCAGAATTATTGATTCATACGTTTCAAATGTCTAATTCTGCTGATAACTTCATGAGCTAATTTCATTTCATTATCAAATTAATCTATTCTAGGACACAACATAAAAAATCTAACATATCTAGAGAAAGTGCGGTTTGTTTTAAATAAGCAAAATGGTATTGTAATATGTAAGTTTTGAAAACGATCAATATGTTCGTTTCACTGGGATCGACGTACAACACGTAACCAAATAGCATTTTTACTAGATAAAACTGTTAATTGACCCAATTGAATTGGAATCTAGAACTCAACTAATAATTAGATAGTCAATGATAAAATGGTCATTACGTACTTCAGTCGTGTCACATTTCTGTATTTCAACTAGACGCAATGCATTGACTATCGCAAGTTTAGTTTCTAACAGTGCGAATCGCATGCCAATACAATTTCTATGATCACAAATAGATGTTTGATCTGTTGATATCAACAAGTATGAATACCGTACCTTGGTCCATCACCAAATGGAAGATATGTCATTGGATGTCGTTTAGCTTTTTCTGTCGGTAAGAATCTAATAATATTACCAATATTCTCATTAAGAATACCGTTGATTATGACATGAGATGTACCTTTCAGGAATGAATTTTTCCGGTTCGGACCAAACATTAGGATCATGATGGATTGGATAAACGGGCACGCTTATAATAGAACCTTTCGGTATGTCATAATTACCAAGTTGGTAATCTTTCGAGGCGACTCGCTCAAATCTATCAAAAAAAAACACATTTGTCGAAGGACAATAAAGACCATAGAAAATTACCGAGTAAACGGTGGATACATTCGAAGTGTTTCATTAATAACCATATCCAAATATTGAAGTTGGCTAAGTTTTTCATAAGTAACTTCATCCTAGATACAAAGATGAGATATTAGTCTTCTCTAGTACGAATATCACGTACATCTCCAAGTTCTTGACGAATTTCATTATAAACTTTTTCTTGAATCACTGGTTCTGTTGCCATGACATAGAAAAAGAATGACATTAATACACTTGTTGTTTCATAACCAGCAACCAAGAAAACTAGAGCTTGACCAAGCATTTCTTTATCATTCAAAGCTAAAACCATGTTATGAGTTTATGTGTAATAAAACAATTGATTTTTACTCTTTTTAAGTCTTTCAGATTGTCGTTCTTGTTTATCAGTTTGCTCTTCATGCTTGACTTCTTCTTCATGATCAACCATCATTTGAATAAAATCATTTCGCCTTTCGAAATGTTGTCGACGTCGTGCTAATATTTGATTAACTAATTGTGTTAAATAGTTCATAGTATCTCTTGGTAATATTGAATAACCTTTCTCACTCAAATGACGAGCTAATCGAGGTGAAAAAACTATTTCCAAGCAAAAAATAATAATCTACATAATATTTCTTCTTCTACAATATACTCACAAAACACTAATAAAAATAGATTGGCCGCACTTAATGAAAAAAATTTTTTTAAATGATTGACTAAAGTGATATTTTCATTCTGTAAGGAATTTGTTTCAATACCAAATAGACAAGAAGCAATATTATCAAGAGTATNTTTCATGCTCTATCTTTTGATATATGGTATGAAAAAATTTCTTGACTGGTTAAAGTATAATCTCAGTAAATATCTCTGAAAAAATTTTGATTATTTTTTTGACAATCGGCTGGTAGCTCTAGAAAGTCGATCCAGGCTAACTTTACTATAGTACATCCAAATGAGCTAAAAATTTGGATTTGGTGGTTTTAGGTGATGGTCTTTCGAATGCACATAGAAAATCGAAAAATTAAATTTTGACCAGTGCCTCATATACTGGGACGATGCTCGGTCCTCACATGGACGCTCTCTTAAAGATCCAGTTTGCACACCATGCGATCATACATATGGTCGCGAGTGCATCACACGATGGCTTAATCAAAACGACAAGAGTTCATGTCCAATGTGTCTTAAAAATCCCATATCGATCAATGAACTTACACAAGCCAGTCGTCCTTTGCGAAATATACTTGATCAAATTCGTGTTCAGTGTACATTGTGTGCACAAACTGATCTACAACGTGGAAACTTTGTGGATCATATCAACAAGATTTGTCCAAAATCAGTAGTTCCATGTCAAGCTGCTGATATTAAATGTCCCTGGCAAGGGCCACGTGATGAATTACAAAGTCATATCTCAACATGTGTTTTTGAACCTTTGCGACCAGTATTATCTTCATTGATTGCTCAAAATCGACAACTGATCGATCAAGTTCAAAAACACGATAATGAAATAAAAAAATTAATACAACAGATGCATCAGTTACAACCGAGTAAGTCAATATTTTTTGTCAATTTTTAAAGCAAGCTTCCTTCATATACGATTGCTATGGTTTCAGCAGCAACAAATGAATCCAACGATGAAAGTGACAGTTCATCAGTATCGAAATTCTCAATTGATGATTCAAATCAGAAAGAAGAAGATGCCATATTCATAAGAAATCTACCTGCTACCATAAAATTTAACGATTTATTTGATTTATTTTCAAAAATTGGACGTATCAAGGTACACTGAGCTTTTTCATATATATATATATATATGAAAAATTTAGATACTTACAATTAATATGAAATATATTCTATGCAATAGATGAATAGAATGCATGTAAACATAAGTAAACGTTGCATTAAATGAAGATCTAGTTTTACTCATTATTGTGATTGACACTAAAGAAGAAACATGAGATTATCACTGTTTTTGATTTTTTCTTGACGATAATCGTTGTATTCTTTATTTTCATGCAAAGATTTTATCAAAATGAAAGTTACCTGTATTGGTCTTACTTGACGCAGATGATTTAATAAATAAAATTAGTTGAATGCAGCTTAACTTGATATAATAATACATTCGAAGATCAGTCCTATTACTAAAATGTTGATAAAAAGATGTTTGCTAATTATTTCATATTTTAACATTTTTTTAGTACAATGCAAACACTAAAAAGGCCGAAGTATTTATTTTTAAAAATCCAAATAAAAAAGACGGTCTATGTAATGCAAAAGTAGTTTTCATCAACAAGGAATCAGCCGCTGCTGCAGTTGTGGAATATAACGGTATGTAGTATCTTTAAAATATATGATTGAATTAGATATTTGTTTTTATATCCAGGTAAACATATTCCACAATGGAATACACGTCTTCAAGTTAATATATCATATCCAAAGAAAAAAAATTTGAATGAAGTCGGAAAAACATATAATCGTAAATAGATATGATGATGCGTATAAATAGTAGAGTTTACATTCATTTAGAAGAAAACACTGGTGGGTGTCAAGCTAAAGTAATGGAAGATCGTGAGGACTCATCAAACAAAAATAAAAAAAGCTCAACAACCGTTGGTCAATCAGAATTAGACACCACCGAAAATCAGGCAACAAAAAATAAAAACACACGGTCTGTTTAAAAAAAAAGATTGAAAATGAAAATTCATTTTTGTTATGTTTTTCAATAGTCGGCGACATCGTCCTGATCATGTCGAGAAACCAACAAACTAAACCAAACTTCTTCATTCAAATAACATTGAACTAAAACAAAAAACTTGTAATTATTGATGCAATATTATTATACATTCTCTGTTTCATAATAAAGTCTTATGCAGTTTAGCTCTAGCCAACTTTCACTCTTATAAGAATTTTGATTTTTCTTCAACTTATTTGTTAGAAATTTGTGCTCATGAATAGGCATCGAACTACGTTGATTAATAATTTTTTCGAAAAGGATTCAATCCAGCTGATGATGTCTGTCAGGAAAAAACATATAGTTGATGTCCGATGACTCCGAAGAACGATTGTTTTTCGTAAAAAAAAATGGTCAGATGTGCCTCGGTTATTGTTGAATTCATTTTGGTCAGCTTCTAGATACAATGATGTCAGAAAAGATATTTTCTATTCTTGCCAAACTTGTCAATTGAGTATTATTGGATGAAACTCCGTGCCTTTCGAACCGATCAAAGACCGGCGGTTAACCCACGATTTACCGTTCGATTAATTGCGATTTGTATGCTTCAATTTTTTAACTCTTAAAAAAATGTTCGATTTCGATCAAACTCACGCACCTCAATATTAGTCAACGCGCTCAAGCCATCCGTAACAATCACATCAACAGTTTTGACTTAGTTTTCGGATTTGATTATTACATAAACATGGTGCCACAAAAAATAGTCACTAGTGAGATGATTTAACCAATGCAAAAAGTTGCACTGCCATCTGACACAATACACTATAGCATATTGAAATCGATTTTTTTAGAGTAAAACTCGACATTTCGAAGATTGATAAAATAATTTTAATAAAAAAATCTGCAGAAAAGTGCTTAAAAAAGCGTAAATCAATTTAACCAGTGGTTTAGGAAAAAATACTGGTTACAATCGGTTTTAACAAAAAAAAAGACAACACGGAAGATGTATTTCGAAAAGAATTTGATGAATTTAAAGATTATGTTCAAAAACATGTACAACAGAAAAGTCTAGAGATTATTGAACAAAATGTCAAGGTAGATTTACTCTAGCCAAGAAAATCAATGAACATATTGTTTTATTAGGAAGAGAAATAGAAACTTTTAGGTCCAGTCGTATAAATCCAAATGAAGTCATGAAATCATCACCAAAAGTAACAAGTACTAATCACTGTTTATTTTACCTTTTATTCTTTTCAGGAATTTCGAAAATGTTTTGAATTACTAAGTGTTGCACAATTGCAAGCAGTTCTATCAAAAAATGCCTTAAAAAGAAGGTGCCTATCGTCTTGATCATTATTGTAAATCAGATTTATTGATATCAATTGCAAAAGATGCACAAAATTATAATAAAGAAGAAAAAAAATATGATGAAGAAGAATTTACAGAAGTTATGCAAATATGACAAATTGACAATAAAAAAATTGAATTATATACGTGGTTCGAATATGTTCTTGTAAATTAATTTAGTAATTTTTTTTCTTGCCAGGACTGTTTAAGTTAATAAATAAAATATTCTGTTCATAGAATTTTATTATACTCTCATAAAGAAAAAATAATTTATAAATGAATTAAATATTTTATGTGCAAAGGTTTATGCTTCATTTTGTCACAAGAATCGATAATTGAACATTGACTATACATACTTATTTTTACAAATCATTATCCAGGTCAAAACGCAGAGGTAAGATTCTTGTGGATCAGATGGAATCTTATAAAACTTATACGGAAAACTAATGTTTCTGAATTCTTAAATTAAATCTTACTACAACGATTTCTACAAAATATTACTATCATATACGACTTACTATAATCTCATAATAATAACATATGATGCAAAAGTAATGTGATAAATATTGGGTTCTATTTCTCTTTGATAGAAAGATGCTAAAAGAAAGCTGTGTGAGGGTGTGGACGTGAGTGTTAGTATTCACTTAACAGATATCCACACTCACATCCGTTAACAATCATATTTTTCATAGTCAATAAATAGATTATCACATTATTTGTTTGATCATTCATCGAGAAAATAAGTAGTTCGAAGACTTTTTTTGCAATCGATTGTCAATTTATAAATGTTGCTGATGCATCTAAGATTTCGAGAAAAATTATGCATTTGATTCTGTAGACAATTTTTTTTGCTTTTACCTTCATAATTACCAATTTTTCAACCAGTTGACTTTAACTGATTCACAAAAATAATTTTTCTTTTCTCTTATCTATGCGATGTACAAATCGTCAACTAGATATACGTCCTCTCTACAAAATTTTTATCGGAATAGAAATGATTAACATGGTATTTACTGGCCGTCATCATGTATGATTAAGATCGCAAAAATTAAGACGAAAAAAGTAGATTTATCTATAAATTCAATATCATATGGAAAATAAACAGATACGAAAAGCGAACGAAGAACGACAAAATGATCTGCAGTAAGTAGAAAGAAAAACGTTGGATTCTTTTCTCTTTTACTATACGATGATACGAATCATCCCGAACAAAGCAGTCAGAATACAAAAGATTGAAAAACACAGGTCTTATCTTGTGGATTGCAATCATATGCAATATTGTTACTATAGCGATATATCCATTTATTTCTGCGAGAAAATTCCTTGCGAATCTAAGGACTCGCTATTGATACGTAATCACAACTGCATTTCAACTGTTACTATTGATTCTCTGAGTGTGAGATATTTTCTATCTTCTTTGACACCCACACCCTAAATGGTATCAGTCTTGACTTATTAAAAAATATAATTAAGAACCAGCGTATGGCGTTAGTCAATTTGTCAGAGGAACTCAAACAATTGACAGACAAGGACACAAAATCAATCTAGCATTCTTTATAGAGCGACACCAAATAACATGTTCCTTATACATTACGATTCCCGTCAAACGTTGTCCGGTTTGACTGGAAATATTTTTTGAGATATCTAAGACTATTTCTTAGAGGTAGATTTAAGCTTTTCCAAATATCGCGCCTTCTCTTTTTTTTATAAGCGAAATCTGAAAAAGTTCAGAGCCGAAATCTGACTCTTGGCTTTCAGGACCCTATAACCCCAAGTAGGAAACTCAAAAACGAAAACATCCAACTTTGACTCTGGAAGTACAAGAAAAAATATATATATGAGGGCTATGAAAAAACATTGCCTTGAGTCAATAACTCTCTAACGGTAAGCTGCTTACAGTCGAATGATGTCTCTAGTTGCATATAGTATCTCAGGCTATCATACCTAAAGCTCAGCTCGAAATCATGGTTTCTATGAAAATTCATTCACTTTACTGGCATTAGGCTAATTCAAAGAGCCATTGTGGGATATGATGTTTGTACTTCCCATCTCAAAAAATATGTGTTGGATAAAAATTTCAGAGCTCTATTATTTGCTAATGAGTAGACATCCTGAGAATGTCTCAAATACAAAAATAGTCATTTTAGATATTATTAGTAGTCTTGTCATATCTTAGTCAACACTCACTCTTTAAGCCTAATAATTTGATTATACAATTAAAAGACTTTGCTCTAAAGAACAAGACAATTTTTCTTCGAATCTAAAATTTTCGATTGAGCAATTATTTTTCGACGACGCACGTCAATCTTCGGCAATGACTTTTACGCACTGTTGAAGTATTTATTTTTAATTGACTCAGTCGTTTTCATGAAACGAACAGAACAACATACTTCTTCATGAATTTCAATATCAGAGTAGATGCACTTCCATAAACATCATTTATTTTTAACTATCACTTGTAACTTGAAATCGTTTTCGATAATGTTGAACCTACCATTAAAGTGATAAATGACTTAAACTATTCTATTTCAACGATTATAGCAATGGAATGTCAATCGATGGTGATTGCAAGGGACATCATGAATGGGTATGCTGGAATGCGGCTTTTCGTGATGTTTTACTACGCATGATAGGTGTGCTCAAACAAGAACTTTGATCAACATTGCAGCTTTGGCAACTAATATCTTTAGTTTAGCAGTCTGAAAATGTGAGAAAGCAATAAATAGAATGTATTATGAGAACATCTGTATTGCTCTATCTTGTTTTACATATCATCAGATTATTCACGATCTGAAACTGCACTGAATAGTATGCAATCAAAATTTAAGTTCTCAAAAATGATTCATCATTCAAATTACTCAATGAAATTTTACGTGTCTTTGCGAAATTATTAATGCCAAACACATTATGTATTGTACAATAACAGAATCTATTTGAAGAGTAACACAGATTAATTTTACAGATTTATTCGGAAAAAATAATTGCATCGTCGATTTGTGCAACAGTGTTTATTTATTAATTAGCTTGACCGCAGCATGTCAAAGAACTCTTTTAGGGTGAAAACATGTTTCAATTCAAATTATAGTGTATCACTCTATGCATGGAATCGAATTACATCATTAACGAGAATAGAACAAAAACACACTACTAAATCTATAGTTAGCAATAAATCTTGCGTTATTTATTTTTCTCAATCTTCATATCAGTTTTAATCACGGACGTACTAATCATCAATTGCAAGATCACATAAGTAATAAGAACAATCATTGCAAAGATTGTTTTACCAAATAATGTACTAGTTAAAATAAAATAAAATAACCATATGAGAGAAGGATAGCAATTGCTATAAACCAAAATAATTCAATGAAAAGATCAGAATAAATCGAAGGTGTCTATGCTTGAGATATGCCAAGACCATCAAATGTATCATGTTCAAGAAAATGTTCATAGATACGATCCTGAGAAAAATAAACGAAATATTAAATTAGATCATTCTCAGCATTCTTTCAATCATAAATTATGTCATGTGGAATTCTATTTAATAATTGAGCAACTAAATCAAACCATCGCTAAAGAGTATGGATATATATTTTACTTCAGTTTTCGTGTTAAACATCGAAATGATTATTCTATTATTTCAACAGAAGAAAAATACTGTTTTTTTAATTAAGAATAAAAACGACACGAGAATATTGACAGCATCATACGATTTACTTGTGTGTTTGAAAATTATCAATGATAAACCTGATGATAGCTCTTTTGTGGTGATTTTCTTTGCACATAATTCATCATGAAGCATATAAAATCTTATTTGAAAAGCCTTCATTTTGTAAATGGTTTGGAGTCCGATGCATCAGTATCGAGTTGAATTGAAATACTGTAAAAACTCTCTTAAATGGACACCGTCGGAAACTTTCTCGCTCTGTGAGATCGAAATATCGTTCAAAATGTGAGATGTTCACTGTATATCTATTTATTCCTGGTAAATTTTCTTTATATAATGGGAAATAGAGTCTGCTTCTTAAGAGGAGTGGTCAATCAGAATAAGAAAAGCTAAATTGTGCCGCTGACATTTTTAAAAATATAAGTAATCAACATTTTCCTTTTCTACGTTTCTGTCAAATCCTTTTATTTCACTGTAGTGATATTCATATTTCTGTCATAAGTGTATAATTTAAGAATAGACGTATCATACGTGTATTTTTTTCCTAAATTTGATATTTTCAAATCGAAATATGATGGTAATTGACAAAAAACTATTCTATAGTGTATATTTGATAAAATTTCCAGCTTGAAATGTTGATGAGTAATGGTAAAAGGGTTCAATTTTCTAATTATTTCGATTCACTATTCCCAGAAACGAAAACAAAAACTAACATAAAGTTTTGATTGACTATAAAAGTTTGCAAAAAGCTCTACCAAACCATATATTTTTAGATTTCCTGTACATTAAAGCTCTTATTATATCGGAGAACTCGGCTTCCGTTTACAGAACATTTCCTGAATATTTGACTCATGCTTTATGGATTTTAATGAGAAAAAAAAACTGCCGATAGCAGTGAAATGTTCAACTGAAATCCCTCGCAGAGTCTCAGTAAAAATTGAATTTAAGTAAAATATAATAATTTTATTGATTTGTCTATTCTTTTGTCTTCGAATGATAATTTACATGTTCACAGCACAGTTTCCACTATTTCAGTGAAATATTTCGAGAAAACAAAATTACAATGAAAAACTCTTGCAGCCAACTAAATCTTCGCATGCTAATTTTAAATATATTAGTAATTTTGACTAAGATCTCATTAATAGCAGTCAAAAGTTCAAGCAATGGCATTTATTAGAAAGTGAAGCTCTTTTTTGTTGCTATCTCTATGAGATTTTAGAATAATTGAAAACTTCATTTTTTTTTCTTTCTCATATTAATTCGTTCACATATTCATTCATTGAAAATTTGATGTTATTATTAATGAGCATGCTAAATGCCAAATGCTTGATTCAAAAAAACTAAATATAGACGATAGTTCGATGTATAAATCAAATATATACTATACAATAATAAATATCACTAATTTGAGCTTAAGTATATCTACACTGTTTGAAAATGGTATTATTTAGTTATGCAGCAATCTCTCGTGAAATTCTACAGTCAATAAAACATAAATTCAGGCAAAAACACCCATAACTTCTTTAATTACTCTTGTCCTGTATCTATTATGGAAGAATTTATTAGGACTATTTTTTCTTGAAATAGATTATGAATTCATTGTGCACATCTTTCATTATCTTCATATGGAATTTCTGACATAGGAACTCGTTTAGAAATATAACGAACATCAGTATATATATTTATAATTGATTATATTTTCTTTAAAAATTTACTTCAGATAAATCTGAGCTTTTCATAAATGTCCATTCAATACAGTGTAAAGTGTTGGTGAAGCACTATCCTTCGAAAAACCAAGCATAAAATTATAAATAGCTGGTACTAAAAAAGAACATGAGTTCATAAAATTAAAATAAAATATCCTATTTTTCCAGCAATTCACTTTTTTCTTTTGCTTCTTGTATAACCATTGTCAAGCCTTTCGTTCGTAGTAATAAATAATATTTTAATCCTGTTAAATTTTTCTCACGTGTATATTTCATACTTGCTAATCGTTTCGTTTCTGTATATATTGTACCTTCACATGTCATAACAGTCTATAAAGAAAAGAAAAAAAAAATTTTTATTAAAAAGAAATCTAAATCAAATAGGTATCTCATACATTAAAATAATAATTATGGATGTGGGTGTGTGTGGGTGTGGGTGGTGTGAGTGTGGGTGTTGGTGTGGGTGTGGGTGGTGTGAGTGTGGGTGTTGGTGTGGGTGTGGGTGTGGGTGAGTTAGAGTTACATGAAGGAACACCCACACCCACACCCATAATGCCTAATTGCACTATAATTATCTTACTTTGTCAACTTCCGGATTGTTTTTTGCGATATTCGGAATGTGAAAATCAAACAACTATTTCAAAAGATAGATTTCGATATCTTAGAATTAAGTAAAAAACGATTGAAAATTCTTATCGGCAAAAGTTATGAATCAAAAATTTCCCTTAAACAAAAAGATCGAATTTTTCGATTGATAAAAAGAAACACGATTTTCATGTAACTACTGTAAAAATATGTGATAAAAAAGGCATCTGTGATGAGTTGATCATAACTTCTAATGAGATTGGATTTCAACGAGGTGTTCATGCAAGCCTTATTTGTCTTCAGTGTAGAGATAGCAGTTTTTTTCATGCAAATGTGTCTACAAGGGGGAGGGGGAAGTGAGTTCTGTGCTTAAGCGCCTGCTCCTTTCATTTGTAAAGACAAGTGAGTGCAGTATTCTGTTTTGATTTCAATAGTAATGCATTCAAGATGAAATATTTAGCTTTGACTTACGTAACCGATTGGAAATCTAAGTTTTGCGTGCAAAAGAAGCTGAAATTTTATCTATAGCTTGAATCAATTCTGATGGATTGCTTACCGTAGAAAAAATAATCAAGTGCGAATAAATTGTCCTAAGCAGAGACAAATCTTTTTTTCAAAAAAAGTCGATTGTTGCCTTGATAAATTTTCAGAGGGAAGCTACAATAAGTTTAAAGTTTTCATGTAGAAGTTTTTGATGATGCTCTTTGATTTGCAATCAAAAAATATGGGGGTCACAATTTTGGAGTGTATGATCCTGCTTTTCAATAATCGATAATCTCATGAACCGTTTCTGAAGACCTTATGTTGTTTCACACTATTAGGGCATACTATCGATAAATCATTAGCAATGAATTTTTAAAAAGTGATTTTAAATAAAACATTAATGTAAATTTGTCGCAATTAATAGTGTCAACAATGATACACACTAAAAAATTATCATTCTCCTAACAAATTAAAATAACGCATTCCCCAATAACTCATTAAGAAAGCAGTTGGATCTGTTTCTAAAAATCCGTCACCACCATCCAAATTGTAGACGTTATAGTTCCATATATCAATGGTTCGTTCGTCAGGAGGTAACATTTGTAACGAACGATATGCTCTCCCCCAATCACATTCAGCAGGTACGTTAAGTTGAACATCCAATCGATCACTATTATATTGCGGCCAGTTGATAAGTTCCAATGGCCAACGTTGCATATACCATATTCCATCCTTTGACAATGAATTGCAGTCGAATTTAGGAGAAGATCCACGACTTTTATTGAATAGATGTCGAGTTTGATTAACCTGGCCAGTAACATAACAATAGATGAAGTTATAGAATGGTGATTTCTCCATTTGTTTGTATTTATGCGCTAGATCTAAACCAACCATCATATATTCCAATAGATTATCAATAACTGATTGTGTACGTTCCTTCTGTATTGTGGATAAAGTATGCGTCGTAGTGAGTGTGTTAATTGCATGGACTAAATTAAAATAGGACAAATAAGCAAGCTCATCATCCCAAAATTTAACCTGGCAAACTGCAATCATTCTTTGATTAAGGAGATTAACATCATATTGATACGATTCAATAAGTAGTTTAGCACCATTAAGAAAACGTTCATCACCACTGTAAGCATAAGTTTGAAGTAAAAAAGCCAATATTTCGAGACTACCAAGGCCCCGCTCGTCTATATGGTCAGTACCATTAGTTATATCTGTTGGATTCCAGACACCCCTATGAGTATGATTCAGGCCTACCAAATACCAGTCATGAGTTAAAATATAATTAGTGATATTGAAAAGCAACGTGTAAGCTCTTAGACGCTCATCCTCATTACTAGCCAACAAATCATGTACTAATGGATAAACAAATTCATGTCCAACAACCTCATCAGATGAGGTATCATCTTTGAATTGAAGAGTTGGATAAACAGGAGATAAATACCAATTAGGACCAGGAGGAAAATCAGTACGTTTTGCATATGAGCGAGCAGGATAACCAGAAATACCTGTAACATTATTAAGAAGTTCTAATGCTTCAAAATGAGTCCAAGCAGATGCTTTGACTGTTACATCTTTTGTTACTTTATAGCGAAAGATTTGACTACTTAAGTATATTGAAGTCCAAAGACCATCATTGTCATCTGATCCTTTGACACAAGTACGACTATCTCCCCATAATGACATACTACAACCCGATACCAAATTATATTTGTCATGTCTACCTGTTTGGTTGAAGAATTCTTGAAAATGCTCTGCTTTTTTGGCCAACGTCCACATTTCAAAGTGAAGAACAGCCAAGCCTTTACTGGTGACTGCTACCGCAGTACTGCCCAGAGCAGTAGGTGCCTTAATTTCACGGCTCAGTACAGCCAATGAAACTACATTGACCAATGAATCGCGATTAGGCATATATCGGGCACTATTAAATACACGCCAAGCATTTAAATCAGTTTCGTTGGGATCAAAGCGCATCATTCCACGAATACTACCTAGCCAAACTCGACTGTCAGGTAATGCCGAATGGCTCACAACCAAAGTAGTAATATTAGCAAATGATAAATGACCAATGTCTGATCCAGGATTGGAGATTTGTCCCGCCAATCTAGAAAAAATCCAATGAATACGTCCTGTCGACATGATAATCGGTGAAACAAGAGTAATGCCAGTCTCTTGTCCTATCCATAACTTATCTTGTCCATCACTATATACTAATGAAGTGATCGGTGCATCAATCAGCCCGGTGACGTGCTCAAAACGCCATCCTTTATCAACAGCAGTATATGACTGAATCCACAATTTAGTTGCTGTACCAATGAAAACTGTCCGATGTTGTGAACTCCATGCCAAAGACGAAACGGATACGTTAATTTCATTGATATAGGGATGAATAATGAATGTCGAAAGATCTAATCCATGAAAACCTGTATCAGTAGCAATATATAACCATCCTGCTGTTCCCAGATCATTTATAAACAAACCGGCTGTAACTTTTGAAATATTCGCTAAGACAGAAGGAAAAGGAATGTTTTTTATAATTCTACAAGAAGTTGCATTCAGTTGATCGCATAAGATGAATTTTACACGCTCTAAGGAGATGAGAGCAGCTGTGTAAATCATAGCAAGAGTTTTATCGTGCGAGACAACCAAAAAACTCTTAATGTCAATCTTGGGCAAAACTACTGAAGTATTGTTGTCAGACAAAGACATCCAAGACATTTCTAATGTTTCAACTGTTGAATTAGTACTTTCAGTCAATAACCAGAATCCTTCAGCAGCTTGAGCATGATATTGTGGCAATGAAACAATTTGGTTTGCATGGTGAATATTAGTGAGTACTGGCCAAGCAGTAGATTCATTTGCAAATGGTGCAAATAGGTAACGTCTAGCAATCACCTGTTCATATTCGCTATCTGGAATACTGGTTGGTAATACTGCACGAGTATCAGCTAGAGATTTATTTTTTTCTGCAAATAGACCTGTGATTATTATTATATAGATCACAGAACAAGCGAATACTGACCACATTATATCACGTTAGAATAAAAAATGTCGTGTAGAGGTAAAAATAAATGACTTATACTTATATACGAAATAGCTACAAGTAAGAACAATACAAGGCAACAATATCATAAATACACATAAGATTAGTAAACAAGCAAGATAAAACATCTGATGTTGTGAAGCTTTTTTAAATGTAATTATTTCATGTCGCCAAAAAACATTATGAATATGGAATGATCACGAAAAAAATAGTCTATCCTATCCCATAATCAAATTTACAATAGATTTGCTGCTTATTATTAGATAAAAAAGAGTATGAAATATTATGTAAGTGTGAGGGTGTGGGTGAGTTTTTTTAAAGATTGTTTCAAGCTCCTTACAGCGATATCGTGGGGTGTGTGGGTGTGGGTGTGGGTGTGGGCGTGGATGTGGGTGTGGGTGTGGGTGTTGGTGTGGGTGTGGGTGTGGGTGTGGGTGTGAGTATAGGAGAATCTTAAAACTGACATGCAGACTCGCATACCCACATCCACAGCCACACCCACAGCCACAGCCACACCCACACTCACACCCTTTTATTTTCATTTGATTTTAAAACTGGTGTTGTTGGTATCAAATTTTCATCATTATGATCATTATCATCTTCGATTATAATCTCACTATCCATGACTTACAGTAACTTTGTTTAAACTATTGGATTTAAGGTTCTTTTATGTAACTATAGTATGCACAATTAGTCGAAAATAATTCAATCTCACGAGGGAAGTACCCCAACTGTCAAATCGCTTTCGAGTCGTGAGTGTGTGCATAATGTAGGCCCTAATGAGCTATGAATACCCTGAAAAGGATTCGTGCTGCTAGCTTATTGCGGCCGCGATATTGCATTTTTACGGTATTTTTAAATAGAAAGCCGTAGTGCCCCTCAGGAACACGAGGAAAACTGATTTTCGAATTTCGACTCGAAACTTTGCATATAAATACGCCTCAATGAGAATAGTTTACTGTGAAAGTTTCAGA